ATTCCTTGGTCTCTCAATTGATTATGTGATCAGAATGAAAATATAGGCCACATAGAGTAAAAATGGAACTCGGTTTAGGATACCCATATGTATAGGTTTTCTTTTTAACTTCTTATTAGTATGTCTGGCGTCAAAGTAGGATAAATGAGTCCGCGTCAAGGAGACGTTAATCACTGGGACCAGGAAATATGAAGATTAGTTGATCTATTAATTCACGAATCAAATTTATCCTTTAAAATAAAACATTCGAGTCACGTTGGTTTATTCATGAGTTACTGATGATTTTAAGCTATTCTCACCCCGTATGTATGCTGGGCCCTTGTCCCTGCTTCGATAGACATCTTTGGGACAGGAAATAATTTCCACAACTTCGAGCTAGCAACAAGTCAAAAAGATTAACTTTAAAGATGCAAATCTCATGAATTAGGTGGATCCTTGCGCCTGATAAATTCTCCACAAAGTACAAAAATGTATTTCTAACATGTACTTTTTCTCAATGCCTCACTGATCCACATCAGGTCTACGTGGTGGGAGGTTTCGAGGGTCGCCGATACCACGACTCGGCTGAGTTTTATGAGCCAGATTCGAATCAGTGGACTATGATCAGCCGAATGCACTCACCCCGGGGCGGAGTCTCCTTGGCCCAACACGGCGGATATTTGTTCGCAATAGGTGGCAACGATGGGAATAGTCGACTGCGCTCCATAGAGCGATACGACAATTCACTCAGCAGGTAAATGTTTTGGCCAGTTTTGATAGAGATTATGCCTTCATTTGATGGTGCCGAAAGTACTTGCTCATCTGGTCGAGATTTCTGTTTGAGATAAGATTTGGCTTCGCCTGTGAGGAGAACTTTGAGTTCGCTGTAGATCCATCAATTGGATGTAAACTGCCCATTCTAGCAAATATGAAGAATTATTGGATTTGAGATAAAATTTTTATATTGACCTTCATTTCGTGTGAAAGTGCTTGATGAAGAGGTTCTTAGGTCGATCTTACCATAAAATGACGACTGATTTCTGTTTTTATATATTTATTTGATTATGGTACGACGATGAGGTTGACATAGTCCACGAGACATCTCGTTTCGAGTTAACAAATCTGTTGAACATTCATCCATCATATGACAGACCTTGTAAGAGCTG